TTGAGCGTGTGTGTTGAACTTTGTCGAAGAGTTGCGCATCGGAGGGCGGAATTGCAGCAGTGCACCGGATTGCAGCAGTGCACCGGCACACCAGCTCACTGTTTGTACCGCCCCCGTCGCCCCGATTCGCCTGCCATTGCCGTAGATATGTTACGGCCAAACCATGTACCAAGTTGCTGGCCCTTACGTTCTGTCCCATACTTGCTGACCCTTCGTCTCTGCGCAGCAAGGCCGCGTGTTCATGTACGAGGCGGCACGGGCGACAGACAAGGCAACGTGCGAGGCCAACATCGACAAGATCGCGGCCCTCAACCCAGCTGCCGGGGAGTACATCCGCCTGCAACCCCGCCACGAGTGGGCGATGTACGCTACCCGCGGCAACGTCGTCCAAGACCAGGTCACGTCCAACATGTCGGAGACGGCCAACAACATGATAGGACCGGATGTACGTTTGTTGTGCCTTTGTTTTTAGTTCCGTCATTCAAGTTGGGCCTTTTAAGTTGCGTCATGACTTCCAACTGCCCGTCCCACCATTNTACACGTGCACGTGCGGCTTCTGCAAAAGGTGGCGCATCCCTTACCGCCACGTCGTCGCCGTGGCGAAAGGTGCGCGCACGATATCATTCTTGCTGGTACGTTGTTCGTACGCACCACGCGTTTGCCACTGATGAGGTTTGGACATCTCATGCATAGGGCTGCTTTCATTTTCGAGGGGGGATGGGCAGAACGAAACACGGATCCGATATGGTACACAGTGTCCAATCACGCTTGGACGCCCATGCCCATATTAGTGCACATGAAATCCCACTTTTCTTGGGCGGGCGGAGCATGCAGCCCACCTCGCTGGTTCTACACAAAACTCGATCCTCGTTTGCCGTGTACGGCCATGACATCGCATGGATGCTGATATGACCTTGCGCTCTTCTTTCCACTCCCGTTCGCTCGCGTGGCCTCCCTCAACCTCGCAGCCCGACACCAGCCCGCAAAGCTCTTGGAGCTCCTCGACGAGGGATACCGCTTGGACAAGGTCCGTGCCGCTGCATCGGACGAGCGATACCGCGTCACCCCCCCCGTGTGGGCCGCCTTCAGCGTCAACCCCAACCACAAGCCACCCCTGCCGGTGGACGGGCAGGCGGGCCGCCGCAAGACCAAACGCCAGACCAGGCGCAAGATGAGCAACGGCGAGTACGCGACGACCTCGCGGAGCTACGCTCTCCACCTGGCGAGGTCCAACGCCCAGGGCGCCTCCGCTTCCGCCTCCGCCTCGGTGGCGGCCGCGGCCTGCGCCCACGCCAACCACACCGCGAACCTCTCGCAGGGGCAGCCGCAGGGCTCGGGGGAGACGTAGACTGGCAGGGGTGGACCTAGCCTAGCCTAGCCTGGCCATTGGTGAGGTGGCCGGCACTTGCTACTGGGGGCTGTGTAGTTGGTTCTTGCGTGGTGCGTGCACCTTGTGCGATGGTTACTGCATGTGCCACTCCTGGTTTTGGGCAGGGGTGGACCTACCCTAGCCTAGCCTTGCCATTGGTGAGGTGGCCGGCACTTTCTACTGGGGGCTGTGCAGTTGGTTCTTGCACGGTGCGTGCTCCTTGTGCGATGGTTGCTGCATGTACGACTCCTGGTTTTGGATGGTGACGGGGGGAAGCATTTCGACATCTCCTCACTTGTCGTTTTCGGGGGGTCTTGCTGTCCTCTTGTACCTGTCTCAACATTCTCCTCTCTTTTATGTCACTGCCCGTTCTGCCATGTTCTGGGGTGCGAAGGGGTAAGAGGTGCATGCCGTGCGCACGTTCCTGCCTGGGTGTTCGTCCGGGGTGTTCTTCATACATTTGCCAGCAGTTGTTGCTGTATTGCTGGCCCAATGGTTCGTGTGGCGAGGACGGGACAACTGTGCTCATGGTTTTCTTCGGTGCTTTGGTTCCTGCTGGGTTGTTTTTGGCACCTTTTTGTTGGTCGCGCTCTCTGCTTTTTTTGTTGTTTTTTTTTGTAGCTGACGGTGTAGGTAGTACCACCGTTACCATTGCGTTCCAGGCGTGGTGTAGAAGTGGTGTCGATTCACTGCACATGTTTTTCATGCTCGCGTCGTCTCAGAGTAGTCATCGGCGCGCGGGCTTCATGCCAGCGGCCGTATTCGGGTGAGCCAGCCCTCGACATGTACATGCCCTTTCCCCCAAGTTGAACCTCGAACGAACTTTCACTTGTTTTCCCTCGGGGGATTTCCTCTTCTTTTCGTGATGCTTCGCGGCTCACTTTCATGGGCCTTGTTTATGGTCCTTGTTGCTGGTGGTGGCCTAATGCCCAAGAAATCGTATGGCCGGCGCTTGCTTTCCCGTCCTTTGTTTTCACTACCGCATACCGAACTTCGTCGACTTGAAGAAGGCGTATGATTCGGTGGACCGAGAGATGCTATGGAAGGTGCTGGCCAGGGCCGGGATTCCCGCGAAGCTGATCGAAGTCATTCGCCAATTCCACGATGGAATGCGGGCCCGGGTGCGCATGGACGACGGAGAATTATCGGACTGGTTCTTCGTGACACAGGGCGTGCGACAAGGATGTGTGCTATCCCCACTGCTGTTCAACATCTTCTTCGCCGAGGTCCTCGAGGTCGTTGTCATCCGATTCAGCGAGGATGATATTGTTTTGCGGAGCCTGGTGTGGTTGGAGGAAGGCAAGACGGAAGCGGGGGGGGAGGAGGAGACACTCCTTGACCGAGTACGGAGGGCAGTATGTTGGAAACTCGTGACTTATGGAGAAATATGTGGTGTACTAATGAGAACTTGCCCGGAGAGACAGGTCGGCAAGGTGGAGGGAGCACGATGGGCTGCGCTCCCCATGGCTTCTCGCTACAGCTTTTCCTCAGCAATAAATCTATTCGCTGCAATCTA